ATATATAATATATAATATATTAAAAGATATTATAGCTATTTTTGGTGTCAACGTTTTTATTGTTTTAATAAAAAAATAACAACATGCATGTAAGATTATTATCACTGACATTATAGTAACATTCACTAGAAAATTGGTTCTTCTGACTACAAGTCTTCTACTATGATGATTATAGTTACAAATATTTTTCTCTCAACGTGAATTCAATCGTATGTATGTATAATTGAAGAGGATAAAAGCTGCTGCGAAAGATGCAACGGATATTTTTGCAATTTGCCGCGGTTGAGCAAATAGAGAACGGGACGCTGATAAGCGAGAATCACGGTGATACAATGATGATGCGATAGTAGAATTAAATAGACTTGTGATTTGCAATAAAAAAACAAAAAATTTCCGATGGAGCAAACCGAGAAAAGTCGATTGATAACCGCGTAAGGAAGATATATTCCGGCAACGAGAGAAGAGTCAATAATGAAATCACATAATCATCGCTCAGTGATAGACGCAACGGCACCCGACGTGTGCGCGTATGAGCATTTAACGCTGAAATTGGGGAGAGACGCAGGCGGCAGGATAACAAAGGTGAAAACAAAGATAGCGACAGAGGCGAGGGATGGGCAAGGGAATCAATGGGTGCTACTCTACGACCTCGCTCACACCAACCCTCTCTTTCTCTCTCTCTCTCTCTCTCTCTCTTATTCACGTTCCGCTCCCACCGAGTGAGCCGCCCTATATCGTGTGTCCAACCCTCGAAGCGTGACCGTGACTGTGACTCCGGGAGCAGTACGCATCGATGTCGCCACCATTCCTATGCGCATCGCACGCGTAATGCGACTCGCTGCAGCGCAGAGAGAGAGAGAGAAAGAGAGAAAAACTCGCCTGCAAAATCCGATTGAATGAAGGACAAGTATTACGTTCGCATGAAAATTCAATTTCTTTGTATTATTACCGTTTCTTCGATTACTCAGACAGAGATCTCGTTGAAACTCTTTCCGCGTTCCGTCGGTGCTTTAATTAGCGGCTTTATTATCACCGAGATGCTCGGTAACGTTGGTAGATTAAATGTTAGAATTATCTTAATTGTATGTTCTGACGTTTTAATTCTACATGTATTATTGTAATTAATTTATTTGTAACAAGTGATCATTTTAGTTATAAAACTGGCCTACGCATCGCGATAGATGGGTAATGTTTGGATCAAACTGTGTATTATTATTGATTCTATTTTAAAATCGAGAAACTGCCACAAGTGTCTATTCTTCTTTCTCGCATCTCTTCGTTTAGGAATCGATGGATCATTATGTCAGCACTCTTCGCGTTGCATCAAAACAAAACTTGGCTAACCCTTCGGCATGGTCAACAAGTGTCGAGGCCTTTCATCGGCCACTTCAGCGACACTCGGGGTCACCTTACCGGCGTGCTTTATAACACGCCCTTCATGCTCCTCTGGTTGCCACCACCAGACTCTCTCGACTTTGACCGTTAATTGCGTCGGTGGGGTCTGAACGAAGCTGCTTTTTAAGCTATCAAGTTCATCTGTGCGAACTGCATTCATATTGCACTTAATGTATTAT